AGGTATCACGATGAGAGATAATGGATAGGGGCACTCCATGCAACCTAACAATTTCCTTTTGATACAACTTAGCATAGTCCTTCGCTGAATAAGAAACCTTGATGAGAATGAAATTAGCAGATTTTGTCATATGATCTACTATAACCCAAATCGAGTCGTGTTGTCGCCGGATGTGGGGTAAACCAACAATGAAGTCCATTTTCAAATCTTCCCCTTCTAAGTAGGATTACTAATATCTTGAGAAAAACCTCTCATTTTTTATGCTCAACTTTCACTTGTTGATAACTAGGACATTTAGCCACAAATTCTACAGTATTATTTTTCATGCCATTCCCCCAATCGACCTCCTGCAAGTCACGGTAAAACTTGGTGGCTCCCGGGTGAATGAAATATCAAGAACTATGTGCTTCTGATAAGATTTGCTGTCTCAAGTCGTCGACGTTAGGAACACACAACTGACATTGATATCAAAGCACACCATCTCCCCTTTGAGAGAAAGCCTCAATAGACTTTTCAAGTACCGTTTTCTCCCGTCTAACCAAAATCGGATCAACACAACTTCAACTTTTCAGAAGTAAGAATATTTTTTTTGATATGTAATACTCCCTCTGTTCCTAATTACTTATCCACTTTTGAATTGACACACCTATTAAGAAAATAATTATTGACATAGTGAGTTTACCATTTTATCCCTATTAATTATGAAATGGATGAATTAAAAATTTAAGATTTTCGAAAAGTTCTACATTTTTCAAAATAATTAATTGAGGGTATAATAGGTAAATTTTTGTTGTCCTTTCTTGATTTGTCAAAATGGATCAGTAATTAGGGATAACTATAAAATGAAAAATAGACAAGTAATTAGGGAAGAGGAGTAGTAAATTAGTAAAATTAATAGATAATATGTGACAATTATTTTAATTCATGGACATTTATGAGTTGACAAAACATCTACAGTTTTCAGAAGTAAGATTCTTTTCGACATGGCTAAGTTAAATAATAGATAACGCGTGTCAATTTTTCAAATTCACAGACTTATTGGTGACAAAACTGTTCATAAATCATTTTTAAAACGTCCAATATAAAAAAAAAAAAAATCAAAGCAAGGATTAAATAATAAATTATTATTTTATTTTAAAATGCTTTTTTATAAAATAAAATCAACTATTTGTAATTAATTATGTTAAATTTGAAATTAAAATATTAAATTTATTTATTAAAGAATTACTTAAAATTAATGCAATATAACCACTTTATAATTTTTAGAATTTATATATGATAATAATTAAAAAAATTAATTATCTGAATCTGAAAAATAAAAATAAATATTGCAAAAAGTGAATGTGATTATTAATTTTAAAATTTTAAAAAAATGCTCGACCTTAGTTAGTGGAGAATTTTAAGGAACAACAATTTCAATTAGTGAAGAATTTTAAGGAATTATTTTGAATTTAAAATTAATATAAAATAAAACAAATGAAAATAAAAATTACAAATATAGCTTTCCTAATAATACTAATATTTTCTTAGAAATGTTCCAAATGACAGCTACACAAAAAAAATTGAATCTTATGATCTTAAATTAAAGATATTGTGTGCACAAATAGACACTTAAAATTCTATAAAGTTGAACAAGTAGACACATAAATCATATGTGACATAATACACATACGTTGTAAATTGGCATGTAGGATGAAAAAATAGGATACATACACATAGGTAATGTAAGACTGAATTTATAATGACAAGTTAAAGAGCGGAAATTTTCTACCCCACGAAAGCCATTTGATTAAAAATAAAAAAAATACTTATTCAGACACAAAATTAAAAAGAAATTAGTAGATTGATTAATAGGCGATGCTTTACATTGATCAATATGATTTGCTATAAGTTACGGCGATAGTTCAGACAAAATCAGTGACTTGTTGTGTAGAAAATCACCAACATATTCTACATTAAAATCTTGCTACTATATACCATTATCCAAAAATCAAACAGAAACAATGACAATATAGATGTAAGGCAATATTCTTCAACAAGAAATTGCTACCTATTCAATCCCATGGAATCTTCAAGGAAACTAAACTTTCCACGTACGATGTTTTACGTGGCCCAAAAGATGGAACTTGTGTAGACTTAAATTCAGTATATTCATTTTTCTGCACGTCATAGTCAATGAAAGAACCATCATGCTTTCTCCACAGTATGTTCCCATTCTCCTTGACAAATAGGAAGCGTTTACATATAGGCGGCATTCCAATGAGTGAGAGTAAAGTAGGAAACTTGTGGATACAATTCCACCTATCTTTCTCCAGCGATCAAATCAAAATTTCCTCGCCAACAGTTGTGAAAACACAGATGCCATCACCCAATGCAAGTAATGTCGGCTGTTTCCCACATGTACTTGGCACTATCGTTACAGTAAATTTTTCGTCTACTAGATGGAAAGATATAATCATTCTGTTGTATGACATCCTGTGTGATAGAGAATTTAGAAGGAGAAAAACAAAGAATACGTAAGAAGAGAAAGGAATTTGCTGGAGAACTTAGTCGTTTTATTCATAACTTCAAGCCTATATATAGGCAAATACTTAACAGATAATCCATTTAAACAGGACACATATCAGTCCTATTATCAACTTACTCCAAAAAAATAGAGCACATGACTCCTAAAGCAAGCATAACTCTTTACTCCACTAATTCCTAAAAATCCAAACAACCTGCAAACTGCTGCAATTAAAAAGAATTAAAACTCCTAAGACTAGGTCAACTGACAACAGAAAACTACGCCTAAACTTTCAACAGTTCCCCTTAAACTGATGATTGCTAACAGTCAGTTTACGTCTTTGATTGTACATACACCTAGCAGCCTTCTAAGTTTCATGAATGACTCCGTCTTCAAAGCCTTGGTGAAAATATCGGCAACTTGATCTTCGCTCCTGCAGTAAATCAGATCAATTGTTCCATTATTGCTAAGATCTCTTAAGAAATAAAACTTCACATCAATGTGCTTGCTTCTTCCATGTAGCACCGGATTCTTGGATAGCTGAATTGCTGAATCATTGTCACAAAAAATCTTAGTGGCTTCTGCTTGCTTGAATTTTAACTCCTCCAAAAGTCTCCTCAACCAAATAGCTTGACAAGCACAAGCAGTCGCAGCAACAAACTCGGCCTCTGTAGTAGACAAAGTGACAATTGGTTGCTTCTTAGCTGACCATGAAATAGCACCGGACCCGAACATAAAAGCATAGCCTGAAGTGCTTTTCCTGTCATCGCGATCACCAGCATAATCACTGTCCGTATACCCAAGAAGATTGGACTTTTCACTCTTCTTATAAACTAGTCCAAAGTCTCGCGTTCCTTGCAAGTAACGGAGAATTCTCTTGGCTGCTAGCAAGTGCATTTCTGTGGGATTCTCCATGTACCTGCTGATTAAACTCACAGAGTACATTATGTCAGACCTTGTAGCAGTGAGATACATCAAACTGCCTACAATTTGTTTGTAAAGTGTGCTGTCAACTTTCTTTCCAGTAGGATCTTTGTGCAGCTTCAAACCAAGTTCAACAGGAGTGTTAACTGGATTGCAATCCATCATCTGAAATCTTTCTAGAATTTCCTTTATATACTTCTTCTGAGAAATGAAGATCCCTTTCCCAGATTGCACTACCTCTATGCCAAGAAAGTAATGCATCAATCCGAGGTCGGACATTTCAAACTCATCCATCATTGACTTCTTGAATTCCTCAAACATGGCACCACAATTTCCAGTAAAAATGAGATCATCAACATACAAGCAGATAATGAGCATTTTTCCTTTATCCCCAATCTTAACAAAAAGTGTATGCTCATAAGGACATTTCGAAAAACCAACTTTTAGAATATAGCCCTCAATGTGACTATACCAAGCTCGAGGAGCTTGTTTTAGACCATAGAGGGCCTTTTATAATCTATAAACCTTATGCTCATTTCCAATTTCAACATAACCAGGGGGTTGTTCAACAAATACCTGTTCCTCAAAGTGTCCATGTAAGAACGCCGACTTGACATCTAGCTGGAAAATAGGCCAAGAATTCTGAGCTGCCAATGCGATAACCAATCTGATTGTATCATGCCTAGCAACAGGAGAAAATACTTCTGTATAGTCGATCCCATATTGTTGCTTAAACCCCTTTGCCACTAAATGTGCCTTGTACCTATCAACTTCGCCATTTTCCTTCAACTTTGTTTTGAACACCCACTTCAGTCCAATGGTTTTCAGTCCCTTTGGAAGATCAGACAACTCCCAAGTATTATTTCGTTTGATGGCATCAATTTCATCATCCATTGCTTTTCTCCAATTTTCTTCCTTTACAGCACTCTCAAACACATGTAGGATCGCAATCTAAAAACAAAGCAAAGTGAGTAATTGGATCTTCAATTCCAGTTACCTTGTAATCCTTCATCCAAACAGGCCTTCTTCTAACACGCCCAAGAGTTTGAGTTGTTTCTTCATTTTCTACAGCATCTGGTGGTGGAGTTATAGGGGCTGAATCTGAGAAATTTTCAAACGTACAAGGTGTTGAAAATTGCTCTTGTTCTGCGTCACTGTCACAGAGGATTTGGGAAGCAGGCTGCTGCCTATTCCATTCCCAAGTGTTTTCCTCATCAAAAGTAACATCCCTGCTAATAACAATCATCTTAGTCAACGGATTAAACAACTTATATGCTTTGGAAGACTCACTTACACCAAGAAAGACACATTTTTCAGCCTTATCGTCAAGTTTCTTCCTTCTTTCATCCGGCACATGGGCATATGCAATGCATCCAAAAATTCTAAAATGATCTACTATTGGTTTTCTCCCATTCCATGCCTCCTCCGGTGTCATATTTTTAATAGAAAAAGTTGGGCTTCTGTTTAAAATATGAACACTCCAATTCACTGACTCTGGCCAGAAAGTTTTTTGAATGCTTCCTCTCAATAGCATACTTCTCACCATGTTGAGGATGGTTCTGTTCTTCCTTTATGACACACCATTTTGCTGTGGTGTATATGCAGCTGTAAGCTCTCTCCGAATGCCATGATCTGTACATAATACTTCAAATTCTTTTGAGCAATATTCACCACCACGATCAGTTCGGAAAGCCTTAATGGTTTTTCCTGCTTCATTTTCCACACGTACTTTGAAGCTTTTAAATGTTGAAAAAACTTCAGACTTTTCTTCCATAAAATAAACCCATGTTTTTCTCGAAAAATCATCTGTAAAAGTGATTAAATACCGTTTACCTCCATTAGACGTTGGGTTTATCGGACCACAAAGATCTGAATGTACCAGCTCCAGAACATCCTTTGCTCTCCATGACTTTCCTTTGGGAAATTAAGAGCGAGGTTGATTGCCAACAACACATTCTTCACAAATTTTGGAAGGTGCTGTAATTTGAGGAAGACCACTGACCATGTTTTTCTGTTGGAGTATCTTCAAGCCTCCAAAACTCAAGTGACCATATCGGAAGTGCCACATCCATGATGAATCCTTTACTTCAGCCATCAAACAAGATTGAATGCTATCAATCCTCAATGGAAACAATCTGTTGGAGCTCATTTGAACTAATGCAATAGCTCCTCTCTCAGGATCATAATTTTCACACTCTCCCTTCTTGATAGTGATGACATAACCTTTTTCTTGCAACTGACCAGCACTAAGTAAATTACTTTTCAAGTTAGGAACATACAACACATTAGAAATTGTTTCCACAAAACCATTCTTGGTTTTAATCTTGATGTCACCTTTCCCCATCACTTCTACAGTTGAACAATCACCAAAAGCCACAGTAGAGCGAAACTTTTCATCCAAAGATGAAAAAGAAAATTTGCTTCCGCACATGTGATTATTGCATCCAGTATCTACATACCAAATATCAGATTCATGTTCTGTTCTAGCATGGACAACCATTAACAATGTTTCTACTTCCTTATTTTCGACAAAATTGGCACTTTCATCTCTTTCTTTGTCATTAGGAAGTCTAGTGTAACAATCGATGCATAGTGACCAAATTTGTGACATCTGTAACATTCTACTGAAATCTCTTTCTCCACGATCTCCTCCTCCTCTTCCTCTTCCTCTTCCTCGGCCTCTACCTCTACCTCTTCCTCTATAGTTGCTAGAATAAGTATTAGTAGAAGCCTTCAATGCATGCTCCTGTGCTCCAGAACTTCTGTTCATCTTCTGCTCATGAACTAGTAAAGAACTTTGCAGTTCATCATGAGATAGTTCATTTATATCCTTTGATTCTTCGATTGGGCAGACAACATAATTGTATTTTGATGTAAGAGATCGTAAAATTTTCTCCACAATGGCTATATCATTTATCTTCTCACCGTGGAATCGCATCTTATTGGTTATTTGCATGGTTCTAGCACAATAGTTTGTGACAGATTCTCCTTCCTTCATCTCCAGTGTTTCAAAATCCTTTCTCAAAGCTTGAAGCTGTGCGCGCTTCACCCTGCTTGAGCCTTGATACTTCTTCTTCATGGAATCCCAAATATCCTTGGAAGTTTCTTTGCAAAGAATAGTTTCCAAGATGGGACGATCAATTGCCTGAAAGAGATAATTCTTCGCTTTCAGATCTTTTAGCTTTTTCGCTTCCAACTCTGCCTTTTGAGCATTTGTCAAAACTTCGCCTTCCATCGGAGTGCCAATGCCATCCTGAATGATTGGCCAATACTCTTTTGATCGTAAGAAGTTTTCCATCAACATGCTCCAATGGTCATAGTGACCATCAAAGCGAGGAATTGCTGCTTGCACAAAATTATTTTCAGTAGCCATGAGATAATCTGAAAAGAAATATATGGCTGCCTCACTTGTTGTCACTCTCAGGATAACCTGGCTTTGATACCATTGATAGAGAATTTAGAAGGAGAAAAACAAAGAATACGTAAGAAGAGAAAGGAATTTGCTGGAGAACTTAGTCGTTTTATTCATAACTTCAAGCCTATATATAGGCAAATGCTTAACAGATAATCCATTTAAACAGGACACATTTCAGTCCTATTATCAACTTACTCCAAAAAAATAGAGCACATGATTCCTAAAGCAAGCATAACTCTTTACTCCACTAATTCCTAAAAATCCAAACAACCTGCAAACTGCTGCAATTAAAAAGAATTAAAACTCCTAAAGACTAGGTCAACTGCCAACAGAAAACTACGACTAAACTTTCAACACTGTGAATGACACCGTTTAATGAAACTTGATTATTGTATAGGTACGGGCAAGAATCAAGGGAAATAGGAAAGTTAGTATTGTGAATTGTCCTCCAACATTGATTTTTAACCGAGTATACTTCAACAACATCAACGTAATCGTCGTTTATCAAGTAAGGATTTATCAAGTAATCGTCGTTTATCAAGTAAGGTACACATATAACCTTGTAATCTTCGGTCACAAAATCATAGGCAAAACCAAATATTCGATTTGTCTTTTGAGTGAGAAGAGAATTTGGAATGAGTTTGTATTTTCCAACTGCAGGATTGAATAATGGCATACTATAACCGGGACAGTATGACGTCACAAAGACCAAACCACTGCATGAAAACACTTCTAAATAAAAATAGTCACTAAAGAATTCAGATACACAACTTTTGAATCAGCATTAATTGATGCTTCCGTTGACACAATTTCAAATTGGTGTATTCCTGTACGTAGAGATGGAATAAAATTAACCAAGACAATTTTTCGACGACTACTATCGACAGACAGATGATTTATGTAGATGTGACTTGATGAAGTCAGCGTCATCAACACAACAATGCCATGATTTGCAGCAACTTTTGAATCGTGAAAGAGATTTCACAATAAGCTGTAAGAAGATGGAGTTGACAATATCTCCGGGAAAATGGGGGAGGCAGTCCATGTTGCTGATAGGTTTTTTTTCTACTTTAATGATGCGCCAGATACAACTCATGAAACCTAATTCAACTCTGCAAGTAGTACAAGGTAAGTTGGACTCTACAATCAACTTCTACCCAAATTATATAAAAAAAAATATTAAGTATTCCAAGTTATGAGCTTGTTTACAAAAAATACATTTTATTTTCCATTCCTCGGTTATGCATATTGTACTTCATCAATATTACTGAATTAATATAATAAAATTGACTAGTTGATCCATTGTTCATTTTGAGAGCAAGAAACTCTTCTAAACAGTTAATTAGCGTAATAAAATTATGAATTTTTGACCAAAATAAGTCATTATTTAAATCAATTCACCAAAATAGTATGTTTTTTGAATTTTTTACAAAACTAGTATAAACGTACTTTACAGTAACGTATTAGGTATTATTTTATTAAAAAAAATAAATGACAAAAGGACAAGCAACTGACGGAGTAAACAGATTTAAAACGTTACCAACAATAATGTTTTAAACTTAAAACGTTACCATCAATAACGTTTTAATGTCAATAACATTTTTAGCTTAAAAAGTAACCCCTTTATGTTAACCTCTGTTATTTCAATCTTTTCTATTAAAAAATTGTACTCCTTTATGTCAAAATTTATCTTACTTCTTGGTGCGCCTGAAGATAAATCTAGAGAAAAAGCAAGAATTGCTGCCAAGGATGTACTACACTCTAGCAGCGCGCCTAACTTTATTGCATATATTACATATATACATTCATGCATTTGCATTGTCTTTGATATTTGATAGTATGAGACAAGTGATATAGCACTAATTAATATCATGATATTCAATAACACAGTGCTGAATAACTCATTGGGTTATCACTCTTGTTGTTTCGTGTAAGATAGGAAAATTTTCTTTAACTCATTTTATAATTCGCTCATTTAGTACTCATGACTAGTGATAAGAAAGCAAAAAAAAAAGATTAGTATTATTAATAGTGAAGTAAGGTACAAGTAAAACTAATTAATTTGATGTGGCATCAACATGTTACATAGAAAGTTGAAGAGTTTGTGTCCTTACAGGGACTAATTAAGGAGAGAACATTTGAGAAAGTTTAAATAGAATTGTTCCGAAGATCTTACTTTATCCTCAAGATGAAAAATAGAGGAATAGCAACTGAAGCTACATGAAAGGCAAACATAGTTTCGAAATGGTGGCAAATTTGACATAAATAACAAAAGCTTTTGCATCAATACGGCGTGAACAAGAGCATCACAGTAGATCAAATGATCGACAAGGACTTACTTGACTGGTCTATTTTTCACTTGGCACTTCATTCAGCGTTTATAGCTTAAAAAAACATTTACAACTTCTAATAATTGCAAGACTAAGAACAGTAAACAACACCCTCATAATTAAGCTGGCAGAGAAATTTGGATCAGTTTTCATAACTTAAAACATTTACAATTAATAAACATAATATGTTACACAATCGATTCAATAACCAAATGAATACATATACTCGATAACAGTTCTTTCTTCATCAAAATTCCAAAATATAGCTTCTTGTCACTGTTGAGTTCTAAATAACCTTCCCACGGAAAGTCTTCGCTTCAAATATTAGCCTTTATTTTTTTCTTTTTGCCGTGCTGATAAAGATATAATTACTTCCTGGCAAGTAAGGATAAATTTTCAATTATTTTAACTAAAAAAATGAGCAATTATGTGAAGAAATAATGTAAAAATGTTAAAATACCAATTATATTAATAGAATACAATATTACTCTAACTATGAGTTAAATAACAGGCACACACTTGTATAAGAGGACTTGTTGATTCATGATAAACCATTACAAGTAAAGCAGAAGCTCCAACTGTCAATTTCCAAGTGAAAATTTTCTTGTTCTATATTTAGAAAGTAGAAGCTAAAGTATTCTAATTGCTTTTTCACTGTAGCAATGTTGAAGTGTTCAAATTGTTTTCTTCACTGTACAAAAGGTACCAAAAATGCACCTCTGAAAGTATCTATATCTTAAATACAGTGTGTGCATGACTTAGAAAGATATGACTATTACTATTTAATTGAATCAAAAGAAATACAAATCACTTACCAATTATCATTGCTTCATATGTTGTTGAATTTTCCATTTAAGCTTGCTATCACTGATAGTGAGGACATGGAGTAGAATTAACAATAACACGATGAGTAATGAGATGTTTCTTTACGAGGTTCCAAAACTTTTCATCACCTCTCCTCGTATATAGAATCAAATTAACACTTCTATTACATAGATATCATGACTTATGGGTGAGTTGTTTAATTACTATAGATGATTCAAGTGGATCGAAATCCAGTTGATACGAATTATTACCAGCCATAAAAAAGATACCTATGAAACAAAAAACACATATAAAAGTAAATTTAAATGTAAACCTGAATTGCTAGTCTAAGAAGATTACATGCAAATCAAAATAAAATTATTAAAATAGACAGTATCCTATAACACAAGGTAAGTAGGATCAAACATCCTCTAAATCTTTTAAACTAGTACTACCAAGCCATGCCAACTATTCCTCAAAAACATACTGGCTATTTTCCTATTTATTTTTGGGTTCGGTATTGCTTATCGATAGAGTATTATCTGTTATTTATTTCTGCTTGAGCTTTTAGGGGATAAGTGAAATCAACAAGGGCTCAATTTGTGTGAGTAGTTTTTTTCTTTTTATGACCTTCCTTTTATCCATATCCACTGACCAAGTGCTTTTTTAGTGAACTATGTATAATTTAACATAATTATTTTTTTATGACAAAAAAAACTCGCAGTCACTACCCTTTAGATGCACACAGGGTTTTACCCTGCTCCTAATAATTTAGCACAACTATTTTAGTGAACTAAGACTGCATTTGAGATTATAGATATGTAATGGTTACATACATCATATTGATGCAGTGGTTACAAATTACTACACCCAATCTAGTCACCTGAGAGCAAATACAGTTCTGTATTGTTCACATTACAAAAGAGAAGTTAAGTCTTACTGATAGAGCTAATGAAACACTTATCTTAATAGTGCAACAATGCAAGTCTTACAATTTAGACTTCTAAGCTGAATGACTCATTAGCTACAAAATAAAAATAAAAATAGAAGGGTCTCTCTTGCAAAATTGCCTCATATCAAATATTTTAGAGGTAAGATTGATACTTTTTTCCACATAAATTAGAGCAACTGACAGCGGCAAGAAATTTTGAAATTACTGAGTTAACAATGATAATATATGTGAGTTACATAAAATAAAATAGACATACATCCTTTTAACGATAAAGATGAGACATTTACAAAGGAAAATAATGACCACCCCTAACCCTTTATAAAATTAGATTTCACCTAATCAAATCTAGATAGACAAAATTATGAACTGAATGTCAGCTAAATTGTGGGAATATTAAGATGTAATCCAAGCATTTCTTCTACTATGTAAAGAGAAAACATACCTCAAGCATAAAAAAACCCATGTTCTATACTTTTCGAAAGATTTATGATAGTAAAGTTGTCCTGAATCTCGTTTTTTCCGACAACACCGACGGCGGCGGATTAGGCACAGAGCAAGGGTTAGGAACGTCAATGAATCTAATGGGGAGGCTGCATAAGGGTTTTGAAACGCATAACATGGTGATGTGAACGACATCGTTTGTTTTATAGTTTGGGGATATGTTACTTTTTAAGCTTAAAACGTTACTGACAATAACGTTTTAACGTTAAAACGTTACTGTCAGTAACGTTTTCAGTCTGTTTACTCCATCAAATGTTTGCCCTTTTGTCATTTTTTTTTTTTAATAAAATAATACTTAATACGTTACTGTCAAGTACGTTTATACTAGTTTTGTAAAAAAATTCAAAAAATATATTATTTTGGTGAATTGATTTAAATAATGACTTATTTTGATAAAAAATTCTAAAATTATGAACGACTAATGTTTATGATGACAATTTTCTTTCAATTGAAAAAGATTAAATAATAGTTTCTCATTCAATCACAACATCCATTTTCTTTAATTATTTTCTGTGACTTTAGTTTTACTATTTTAATGAATTTAGATTTACAATTGTGTACAAAACATACTTGCATGAAGTGTAAAACGGTCCAGATTCTCCTTTTAATATTTTATTGAAATAAATTATAGACTTTTGGGCTTCTTTAATAAATTAACTATGGATATGAAATATTTGTACAACATTATAGTAAATGTTGATGGTAGTAAATATTTAAGGAATAATTTGTGTTTAAAGATTAAATAACAATTTTGTAAAATCTGCATTGGTTACTGAAGAGCACAGTAATGGCAGAAATTCGAAAAGACTCAAAACCATTTTCATGATAAATACTTACTATTTATTTTAAATTAGAAATTGTTTTACGTTATTGTACATTTTTGTAAGAGAATAGTTTAGTTATTAAATGATCAAAATGTGGTTCATTATTTGATGGGCAAATTGGTCTTTCAATTTTTAATTTTGAGGCTTCCCACTTATTATATACTAGTAAAGAAAGTCCGGGCGCTGCCCGGGCCCAACATTAATAAAGTTATATTGTTACTCTCTCCGTCCCATATTAGATGAGAATCTTACTATAATTTTTTTT